CCACAGTACAAAAAGGATACGAAGCTACTAGAGAGTGTCCAGAGGAGAGCCATGAAGATAGTGAAGGGTTTAGAGGGGAAGCCGCATGAGGAGCGGCTGAAGTCACTTGGTCTGTTCAGCCTGGAGGAGACTGAGGGGAGACCTCATCATGGTCTACAGCTTCCTCACAAGGGGAAGAGGAGGGGCAGGCGCTGATCTCTTCTCCCTGGTGACCAGTGATAGAACCGGAGGGAACAGCAGGAAGATATGCCAGGGGAGGTTTAGCTTGGACATTAGGAAAAGGTTCTTCACCCAAAGGGTAGTCGAGCACTGGAACAGGCTCCCCAGTGAGGCAGTCACAGTGCCAAGCCTGACAATATTCAAGAAGCATTTGGACAATGCCCTCAGATATACGGTGTGAATTTTGGGGTTGTCTTATGGAGGGACAGGAGTTGGACTCGATGATCCTTGTGGGTCCCTTCCAAGTCAGGACATTCTAGGATTCTATGAATAGACAGCAGACAGCTTTTGTGACACTAAATACAGGTTTAAAGCACCCTGACTAAACTTGCTCTGCAGTGGATCAGAAGCATTCACAGGATCTATTTCAGTGCGGGTTCCATAACTTCCAGAGCAATGTAAATAACAGGGCAGGAACTTCTTGATCGAGAAGAGCCACACTTGTATATAACTAGAGACAAATAAATGGAACAGTTCAGTATTTCTTCTGGTATTATTGATTTCTTTGTAGCAAAAGGTGAGGTCTACAGCAAAAGTTAGGCTGCACTACAATTTATACAAACCATATGATTATGGAGTTACTGGAATGCTTACTGAGCAAATATGATAGTTACATTAACAGGAACACCACAAAAAAGTTACCATTTCGGGTAGCAGTATTATGTGTTCACATGTCAGTTTGATTTCACCTACTCTTATTTCTGGAAACTTTCCAGGAGGAATGTTACACTTCAGTGATTTTTTTTGTTGCTATTACATTATACTTGTTTCCAGTAATTGTTTTAAAAGACATATTAGTTAAGTTTAGA